TACATACATACATAAATATATATATAAATATATAAATATTTATATATATATATATATACATATATGCGTACTGTATGTATATGTAGATATATGTGTATGTACAGTATAAGTATATATATGTATACATATACATATATATACATATTAGATGTTTGAAAGAAAAAAAAAATGCAGCGTTTCACTTTGCGGAGTTTACCTGATGGCACAGAAGTAGGACTGAAAGGAGCGTACAAATCAGCGGGATTTTGTTGCTGCTGGCGGCTGCTCCTGCTTGGGTCCAACGTGTTGGCAGGAGACGGAGGCATCTGCGAGAGGAGATGCCCGGACAAAACAAACATACACACACGGACGTCACTGCTGTCAAACAGCCAACAGAGGTCAATGGGTTTCTCGCTAAAGGACTTTAGGTTTACTCGTACAAACTTATAGCAACGTTAGTTGAGGCTCGTCAAAAATATTGTCCGGGAAATTAGTTTTTGTTTTTAATTAATCTAAAATGAACATACTCTCCAAGGCATTTGGCAGCTAAACAGATATGTTAATGTCGAGGAGAGTGTAATCCAGTGGTTCGCAATTATTTTCGGCTTCGTTCACCGCCTTAAGGGACAGACGTTTTTTTCCACCCCTCTCCAGATTGAAATACTATTGAGTGCCTGGTGGTGGTATGTATTTATTTATCTGCACAAAACCCGCTGTATGAGTTCTTCTTCTACTAGGTTGAACAGGCAGCCTGCTCTGCTGCCATCTAGTGACCGGAGGCTGGTTTATTGATCAAGCACGAATAAAGACAGTACACTGAATGTCCCCTTTCGCATCCCGCTAGGGCAGTAGTTCTCAAATAGTGGAGCGGGGCCCCCTGGTGTTACACATAAGTGTACCACTGCTGTAATGCTTGAATGATAACAAGCCTCCAGTCACTAGGGGGCAGCAACTCATAGTGGTTTGTACAAAAAAATATATATGTTATCAGGTTTTGTCCCCAAGGGGGAGACTTTTTTTTTTGTCCTTCAGAACCTCTCTCATACATCTGCCACTGCCTACGGCAGGCATGGGCAAACTAAGACCCGGGGGCCCGGACGCGGCCCGTTCAGCTTTGTAATCCGGCCCGCCAAACATGTCCAAATAACATAGTAGTAGGTTTGTATTGTGATTATATTTCTGCAATGCCATCATTTTCCCTATAGATGGCGTAGAGCAGGCTAAAAGTATTTTAGCATTTTAGCCTTTATGCATGACTTTTCAAATATTACTTGGAGTGAAAATACAATTAACTTAATTTTTTTAAAATTTTTTTAATTTTGTGTACGCTGATTGTTAAATGAAAAAAAAAAAAAAATCACAATACAATATGTTTGAACTGGCCAGGGTGAAAATCTGTGGTCATACTCACCGAAGGAGGAGTGGACATGTCACCAAACAGATCAATGTGGTTGATATTCTGTAAGTTGAATGAAGGGAAAACAGAGAAATGAAAATCCATGGTGATTCATCACCACAAGTGGTTATTTATACTGAGAGAAAAAACAAAAAAAAAAAACAACAAAAAAAACCCCTTGAATTCATCTTAAAACTGAAATGCCGGAGGGGCAGGTGGGTGTGTGGTGTGGGGGGAGTCGCATATATTCACTGAAACAGAAGACAATGAAACAACTATCTGCGTGTTTCATTATCAGAAAATGGATCTCAAATGAATCTTCCACGGCTCGCTATAATTGAGCGGGTAAAAAGGGCTATTCAATTCTGTAACGCGGGCTTAGATTAGATATTCGTACGTCTGCCAATCAACACGGGAGCCCGTGAGAGCGCGGATTTATCTTCCGATGGTAGTTTGTTATCAGATGGGTTGACGAATAAACAGGTAGATCCTGTGAGGGCCACCTCACCTTATAAGCTAGGTGTGTCAAACATAAGGTCTGTGGGCCAAAACTGGCCCGCTAGAGGGTTCAACCCGGCCTGGTTGATTCATTTAAAAAAATAAAAAAAAAACACAAAAACTCAATTTTTTTGGATATAAAAATCATCAAAAATGTCAGATGTCGCCCGCTAGGGGGTTCAACCCGGCCTGCTTGATTAATTTTGAAAAATAAAAAAAAACACAAAAACTCATTTTTTTGGATATAAAAGTCATAAAAAAATGTCAGAAAATAGGCATGTTGGTTTTTATAGGTAAAATTATTATTATTATTGCACTGTGGCCCCCTGAACCAAAATGAGTTTGACACCCGTGCTATAAGGAGACACGACCACTAGTTAATACTCTGGTACCCCAGTGTGGTCCTCTCATGCCACCTAGAGGCTTTGAGTAATGGCAATTAGTTGCGTGAAATGTATTCGGGGCCATGCACAAAAAATGAAAAAAAAAAAAAAAAAAAAAAAAAAAAAAAAAAAAAAAAAAACACACGAAAGAATTGCATGCTTTAAAGGGATACTACTAGTGGAAAGAAGGAAAATAAAAATAAAAAGTACAGCTATCACAAAACCCGCCTCTTTATGTCTATCTGGAGAACTCCAAGACATAAAGGGTTACAGGGTTTGTGCAGCACCATGGAACCATTTAAGGGCTGAGAATTTGGTGAAAAAAAAAAAGTAGAGATTGGATACTGGTGTGCCCCCCCCCCCTCTCTCAAGCACTGACAGACATCGGGGGGAGTCCTAGGATCGCCGAAAAGCTCCAACTGAATGAACAGACAAGCAGTAACACTTGGAGATATGGAAGCGCTGCTACTTATGCTGGCATGAGGCTGTTTGGTTGAGATAGCGACACAGGGTCAGGACGGTGGGTCTACTTGATATGCTGTACAACAAACAACACTGACAGAGTGCCGGGGAGGGATGCTGTGGTCTGGAAAAGTTGGCTGGTATAAATGTTTTATAAAAAAAAATAAAAAAACAGATTTGAGAGATGTGCGAGTGCGGTCACGGCATGATGGCGAGGAACTCATAAAACCTGCCACGATGAGATGAAATATATTTGCAGTTCAAGGACAGCAGGGAAATCAAAATAAGCGTTTTTTTTTGTTTGTTTTTTTTTTTGTTTTTTTTTGCCCCCCTCCCCCAACATTTCATTTGGGTACAAGCAACACATGGAGTGTTTGGTGAGTCCGTGTATCTTTTGGTCATTGAATTGTCCTCTTTTTTTTTTTACTTCAAAATAGGGGAAAAAAAATAAAAATAAATTTGAACACTGGTTTGTTTCTATTTTCTTCAATAATATTAAAATGATTAATAAAAATATTTAAAAAAATATTAAAATGTTTATTTTTTTACAGCAGCCTTAACAGCTCTGACATTTGCGATAGATTCAGTTTAAAAATTCAAAAAAAAAAAAAAAAAAACAACAATTTTTTTTTTTGAAAATTTTCTTTT